TTGAATGGTCACAACTTACAAATGATCAACGCCGTCTTGTGTTTCTCCCTGGGGTGCATCTTCACAGTGATTTAGACACAGTCTGAAATGTCGATAAGGGATTCATGAGAGAAGCGTGTCATGTGACCTTTTTTTCCTCCTGAAAAATTCATTTATACATTTATACAGCCTATGTAACAAAACCCCTTTCCTGTGTCAAAAAAGGAAAGGAAAAAAATGCTTTCATGTATTTAGCAGAAAAGACTAAAGTCTTATTTTGAACGCTGCAAATCACATTTTACATTTAAAAAGACAAATGGGAACAGAAAAGCACAGATGACCTACCGATGCATGGTTTCATTGACTCATCAGAAAAATAAAATGGAATGAAAACAATTAAGCCAAAAAAATGTCCCCAGATTAAAAATGCACCTGTTTCAGTTTGCAGGACAGGATAACCCCCCTGTGCGTCTGCCTGTCAGACTGGTGTTCCACGTAGCTGTCCGGATGCCTCTCCGCTCCTGCTGGAAGTTTGCTCTTGCAAGCCTACCCCCCTTATTGCCTTAATGGGCCCCTATCTCTGAAACTTCATTAGCAAACTGTGCCTATAAAATCACTGTGCAGTGCCGAACAAAGCAGAAAGCTTTTATGTTTAATTAATCATAAATGAATAAGATCAAAATCAATCAGTCTGAACAACTGAAGCACAAAATCAAACCATATTAAAAGTCTCTTGAGTAAATTAGAAATTAGAACTACAAACACACAAGCACAATTCATTGTGCTCCTACCATTTCAAATCAATAATTCTGCAGGTGCATTTAAGTAACTTGTATGATCAAGCATTATGCTTCTCTGTATTTTGTTAGAACTGTCACGATCAGCTCCGAACGATCCTCGTGTGTGCCACGCCCCCTCATTACCTCATGTCGACTCCTGATTGTTCCCACCTACGTCTAGTTAATTCCAACCTGTCCTGTGTATATTAGTCCGCGTCTCCCACTATCCCCCAGATCAGTCATTGTACTGTTATGCTTGTTCGTGGATGTCTGCCTTCTCGTTACCATTAAAACCCCGTTTACCCGTCAGTCCGGCTCCTCTCGCCTGCTTACTGCTCGCCCGCTCCACGCGTTGTAACAAGAACAATGTTATCAGTGTTTAATGCGGATTTTAAAGAACTTTCCTTTCATGATTACACTTGGCAGTCTATAATTTGCTGTAAGAATGGGGGGTAAAATGGTTTGACATGTGGATCTGGTGGCTGATGAGCAGGGCTGGTCAATTATATAGGCGACAGAGGTGGCTGCCTAGGGCACCAAATCCTGGGGGGGTGCCAACTTGCCAGCCAATTTTACTTTGCCTCCGACAGGGGGCACCAGCAGTGATGCTCGTTTAGGGTGCCAACCAGCGGCAGAGTTGGTGGGGGGTGCTTGGTAAAATTTGTCGACCTGGTGAGAGGGGCTTCTTGGTAAATTGTTGCAAATTTTGCGTTATCGTCTGTAATTAAAAGTGGCACTCTGTAAAATGTACGGCTCAGAGGGGGGTGGGGTGGCCCCCCCTAAGAAAACCTTGCTGTAATGGGCCTGCACCTCCTCCACTACTAGCATCAGCATCTGAGGGGGCACCAATCTGAGGGGGCACCAACTTCGTCTCGGACAATGACCGTCTCGCTGTCACTGTAAAATCAGCTGGCTAAGTGGGCACCCCTAGAATCCCTCTCGCACCCTCTGCAAAGCTGGCACAGTGCACCTAGACCATGTGGGCCACCAGCTTCCGAGGCGGCACTGACTTGCCATCCGGCAGTGCTGGCTTAGGTTGCCACATGGGGTAGAATCATGGCTGGACTGAGATTAAAGCCTCTGGACTTTGAGGTACCCAAGAATAATTCTTGTTGACCCAAAAACCCATCGGCCCAGTGTGCCAGGCGGCCAATCCAGCCCTGTTCATGACAGATTTCTTTGTAGAGTCAAACGGGACCAAGACAGACCTGCATTAACTCACACATGTAAACGGGGATGAGATTAAAGCAAAACTACAAGAACGGCATAACAAATAATTTACTAAAGATTGAAATGAACATTTTGGGATCCTACAATTGTTTCCAGATATCCCAAAACAAAACAGAATGCACCAATCAATGCATATTAATCTCCCTATGCCATAACACCACCCCATCACGCATGTGCAAACTTTGTGAATTCCAGGAGGCTGCCAAAAGACCCTGTGATTTCTATGACAGAGGTAAAATGTACAAGATTCAGCATGGAGACATACTGACTGTCAATCCTTGCAGTCTCGTCTCCATTGTGTGTTCTGCCTGTTGCTCATTCAGTCTACTCACATGAAAAAACTTCTTCTAAGCCACGTATTTACACTGTGTCTGTAGTGTTATTTTCTGTTATTCACTTATTGGTATGCACTGTTGAGTGTTGTTTAATTTCATATTTATTTTCTTGTGTATATCTGACACTATGGTTTTCAGGAAGCACACAAGTAACAATCACAATGTACTGTGGAAACATGAGAATAAAATACCCTCGACTCTGTGAGCAGTGTCACTCTGTCCGGCCCATTAGGGAAGCAGATTCGGCCATAAACAGCCTTGTATTTGTCTCTGTCACTCTGTGGTTGAAGATAACTGGGCAGCATGTCCAACCCATTATTTCTCTTTATTCAATTAATATCAAACACCTCCCCCCTACCACACGTTCTGAATCGGGGGATGTCGATCAACCACTGGGGGGCCGTTTGTGACTTCAATGTTGAGTAAAAGATTTGAAAGTAAAAGTCCATTGAGCTACAAAGACAGCAAGAGTATAGAGGTAAAAGGACGTGATTACAAATCGCTTCATTATTAACCATTATTTAAAAGTGTAATATTTGCCACCGTGCATTTTAGTTCAGTTCCTGTTTGTTCTGGTTAATCTCAGTCACAATGAGGATTGTGGGCTGTCGGTTTGGTGAGGTAGTGTGGTTCTGGCTGAAGTCTAGGAGACCAGTAAGTGACAGAACTTGTTCATGTGCCGAGATTTGTTCTCACAAGTGTAATAAACACTGGCACTGTGTCAGAAGCCCTTGGCAGAGACTTACGGACTCCAAACACACTTAAGAATAAGTTCAATTCTAGATTAGAAGATTGTTCCTGCATACCGATCATCTTTGGATATCAAAAAGATAACAAAAGCTGAGATGAGAAATCCCTAAAATGCCATTAAAGAGGTTCCCTCACATCTTAAAAATCCCCCTGAGCCCATCACTGCAGAACCATTTCACACAGTGGGAATCAGTATAGATCATCTTCCAGTGCCTGCTGTGGCACGATTAAAGGCCGTCTTTCTGAAGAGAACCTGGAGCAAAACCAGAACTCAGCGCCTGACAGTTGGAAAGGTCAGGTGTCTGTCTGCAACTGTGTGTGTCATACAAAATACCCATGTAGAGAAACTGAAGAGCTGGGGCAGAGGACAGGGCACAACCCAGCTCAGGATTTACACGGGCTATATACTGCTAGGAGGCAAGAATGTTGCAGTTTGCCCATGCCACCCCACTCTAGATCCATCATTGCAAATGAGGCACTGAGTCTCCCTAAGCATGTTACAGTGTCCGGGCCTTGCTCACTGTACCCACCCAAAGGCTCTAAGAAGGGGTATTATAGGCTGCCACCATTTCTGTCATTAAAAAAAAACACTAGGCTTTCACTATTGCTCACTCTGTACTGAATATGTATTTGTGAGTACAGATTCAACAGCGAAACAAAAAAAAAAAACTGCTACATCTCTCAGCCATGATGGTCAAACAGATTCCCATTCCTGTTGCTTTTCCTTTATGAAGGTGGCTAACACAGATTACCCATCCTAAGTCACTTATACACCAAAGGATTATGGGGAGTGTGGAGCACAACTCAGGCAGCACCAGGTATGCAAAGCAGTTTAGAAATACCAGTTCACTTTTTTTTTTGGAAAATCCACACAAAGATGGGAAGAAATAACAAGCAACATAAACACACACACACACACAGACACACACAGACAAATACACACACAGCCAGTTGAGGGCAGGTATGAATCTTCAACCCTCAAGGTCTGTGGCTACAGTACTATATGGAGCCAGCCTCACATGAATCATTTTCATGAGCTAAACACCCTCAGTGTGTAGGCAGTTTTATAGATGCTATTAGCAGAGTAAATGAGATACTACAAAAGTCAAAGAGAACAGTAAGAAACTGGCATATATGTTCAGCAAAGAGACAGAAGGGATAAGCATCAGTTTTAGACTCCAGGCACATCTGCCCTCATGAGTGCGATTCGGTTTAATTGTTGATTTACAATTGCTAATATTGTAATGTTATTAAAGTCGAAATGAATGTAGATAACCGCACGAGCTGACTGAGCTCCTCGACTGAAATAATCAGAAACATCAGTCTATTCGTCCGTGTAGCAAAGCGGATCAGAAGAAAAGGCTGCTGTTTTGAAATGGGAGAGTGCGTGGTTAGTACAACGAAGTTAACGGTACCGGTTACGTGAGCTTTGCGGAGCGGCAAACTCTGCTCTGGGATCAGTGTAGCCTTACCATGCAGTTAACAGAGCAAAGATCACGCAGCACACGTATACACCTACTGAAACGTTTTATCAGACTTTTTGGAAGGATTTAACCTCTGGACCAGGCACACTCAAGTGTTTCAGAGCGTTATGTATTTATATATATATTTCGCTCAATCCATAATGTGGTCAAGAAACAGCCCAGTTCGATCACTATTACTTGGCACGAAAAGAGAGGACCAGAAAAGTCTTACACTGTATATGGTAGCCGGGTAATTTACAGAACCCTGTATAAAATATAGTCTCAAACTATATTAAAATTCAGTTAATATTAAACAGTTTTCTCCCACTAAAAAGACCTAGACTGTGCTAAGGCGTGAATAATCAGATACAGCCTTTGTCAAATTCCTAAATCTAATATCTAATGGGATCAGTTTAAAAAATCGACACAGGACTGTGCTACAGCAAACTCGAAGAGATACTTACTGTTATAAACTGCATTCCACGGCTGGTACCCATAATATCCTGTGATCCTAAGGATGCGCTCCTCGATGGACGCGCTGTTGATGTCCTCGACTGACCGTGACGATTTCAGGTCCTCTTTGATCGATTCGTCCACAACCAGATACTTGAGCTGTCGAAGTTGGGGGCTGATGTCCGACAGCCGCCTGGGGCTCACGTCCGGCGATTTCCGCATCCCACTGCAAAGACAGCACATGGGGAGTCGGGCTCGGGTGGCCGGAGAGGCTGCGACCCACGGCGCTTGGATAACACGCTTTGGCCATGAGACGGACAGATATGCGCCTGGGGCTGACAGCGATTAAACTACCAGCACTGGTAGCTGGCTTGACACCACCGTAAAAACAGATCTATCCTCCCCTCTTTTGTGGTGATTGGAACGTATCAATCACACTCAGTGCTCATGCTGAGTTGCAAATAGTGCATATTAGTACGGTTACTATATTCTTCAGAATCGTCGATAGGAGCAGTAAGTAATTTGACTTGTCCACTAATTAGCTAATTAAGTCGATTAACACAGCGCCATTAGCGTTTGTTACATCTGACAAACATTTCGGCTCGTATATTATCAACAGGACAAAACGTGGTCACATCTTAATATGACTAATTTATTTTGCATCTATGCTTTTGAGAGGCGTCCTTTGAGTTTATACAGAATGCATATATACACCCCTTAATACTGCGGGTACGCAGTTAATTTGAATCCTTTACGACTGTCATCCTATGCACCTATCCAGTAGTTCCAGTGTCCTTCACCAGTAGGTAAACCGCACAGGGCATAACATCCATTTTCGAACCCACTGTTATATAGGCTACATGACAACGTGAATTAATCCAGTGCTTTTACTCTCTAGCCATTTTCAACGTTTTGGACTCACATTGATCCTCACATCTCTAGTATTTGACTGCCACTTGAATAACTTTCAGTACGTGCCATATAGGAAATAAACCCGGAACAGCCCGTATCCTAAGTTTTTTTTAAAATATATATGCTGGAGCAATTTCTGCGTCGAATTACATAGCAAACTGACACGTCCGAGGACTGTCATTTTTATTTGTACCTGCAGTGTTTAAAGAACTAACGCGCTGGGGACACCTGATGCTGAGTTTGTAAGCCACGACAAATCACCATGTCAGCCGCTATAAGCTCAAATGTGCACGATTTTGTGCAATAACATTACGCAACACATACTTACAGTATGCAGGGCACAGACATCGATCTACCATTCAAAAATCATAATCTTTTTCGATATTAAACGACCCAGAAAAATACGTGCTTATTGTTTTTTGCAATGACAAAAAATAAAGAACCATTTGACCATGGGCAAAGGTGAAATAACTAAATACGTTCTTTAACTTCCTATCGATTGCAAACGAATGTCAAACATCAGACTGTACATACAGAGTTTAAACTTTATTCTTACATAGGCATTAGAGTAGTCGGGGGTCCCAAGTAGCACATGCATTCCCGCCGTGGACGTCCAACTCGGTCCCACATGGCCGCTTCTCCATCGCCGTACATATTACCCGCACACAGGATTACAGCCAAACGCTACGATACTTCCACCGCTCCCGCAAGACGGCCGGCAAAGAAATAGCATCAGCCGCTTTCTCTCTCACTCCCACACATATAAAGCGGTGGCATTTACATATTTCAACATATAGGCTATTGCGCCCTTCAACTTACGCCACGCACTGATAACGCCACCTGCCGGCGGAAGGAGGTATGGCAATTTGGATCGTACAGCAGGCGTAAAGTGGGTTGTGGTAATCGTGCTACATTAGCTACAGTAATAAATACTCCCCAAGCAATAACTGATGTTTTAATGTAAAGCGAGACTTGCGAGTATAACAGAGAATCTCTGTGTTAAAACGGGACCAGAGGGATGTGTATCAGGTCAGGAAGCCTGCCGAAAGACTAATTACATCTGTATCAGAAAAAGACCCCCAGCTACAGCTCCAGGCCCCCCACAACCCTGATCAGGTTAGGCCGTTAGAAGATGGTTGGATACTTTTCAGTTATTAGTAAAACTAATAACAATTATCAAATGGAGCAACGCTAATTATTAACATTACTATAACACCCAGCCCCTAGTATAGAGAAACCAAAAGAAGGCAATCCGCAAATAAACCCTCTGCGTATCCTCTGCCTGGCTTGGCACTGTGTTACCAGAATACTTACCCTGATTGGCTGTCCTGCTTTGAACATGTGAACCAATCAGAGGGGCAGGTAACTGGAGAGTTTTGGGGTGGATGGGGCTGAGTGGAAACTCAGGGCAAACTCTGACATGTTTTCATTTTCCTGCTGTGGGGCACATAAAATCTACATCCAAGCTTTCCCATTGCTGGGGGAAAAGATTTAGAGAGTAAAATACAGGGCAAGTGAGAAGCGTTAAAAAAACACTATTTGAAATTGCATTAATGTTAGTGCATGTGGTCCCTGGAGGAACTGGGGATGCTTAATTGGCTAACTGATGTCCCTCATCGATAAGCCCACCACAGGCCTCTGTCTAAGCAGGGCCCACCCCCCTCCAAACCTAGCCAAGCTGTTCCTCCTACACAGCACAGCCCGGGGTCAGATAGGTAGAGTAGGAGTGAAGAGGCCAGGGGAACAGGGAGTACAGGTGTAGGGAGAGCAGAAAGGAAAAAATTTTGGTAACACACAGATACACATAAACAGGTAGACACAGAGGCTCATACACACACAGACCGGCAAAGAGGCTCACACACACAGACAAAGAGGCTCATACACACAGACAGAGAGGCTCACACACACAGACAGAGAGGCTCACACACACAGACAGAGAGGCTCACACACACGCACACAGACAAAGAGGCTCACACACACAGAGACAGAGAGGCTCACACACACAGACAGAGAGGCTCATACACACAGACACAGAGGCTCATACACACAGACAGAGAGGCTCATACACACACAGACACACAGACACACAGACAAAGAGGCTCACACACACAGAGACAGAGAGGCTCACACACACAGACAGAGAGGCTCACACACACAGACAGAGAGGCTCATACACACACAGACCGGCAAAGAGGCTCACACACACAGACAGAGAGGCTCACACACACAGGTACACAGACAAAGAGGCTCACACACACAGAGATAGAGAGGCTCGCACACACACACACACAGACAGAGAGGCTCACACACACAGACACACAGAGATAGAGAGGCTCACACACACACACAGACAGAGAGGCTCACACACACAGACACACACACACACAGACAGAGAGGCTCACACACACAGACAGAGAGGCTCATACACACAGTTACACAGACAGAGAGGCTCATACACACAGACACACAGAGACAGAGAGGCTCACACACACAGACAGAGAGGCTCATACACACACAGACCGGCAAAGAGGCTCACACACACAGACAAAGAGGCTCACACACACAGAGATAGAGAGGCTCACACACACAGACAAAGAGGCTCACACACACAGAGATAGAGAGGCTCACACACACAGACAAAGAGGCTCACACACACAGAGATAGAGAGGCTCACACACACAGAGACAGAGAGGCTCACACACACAGACAAAGAGGCTCACACACACAGACAGAGAGGCTCACACACACAGACAGAGAGGCTCACACACACAGGTACACAGACAAAGAGGCTCACACACACAGGTACACAGACAAAGAGGCTCACACACACAGTTACACAGACAGAGAGGCTCACACACACAGCCAGAGAGGCTCACACAGACAGACACAGAGGCTCATACACACACAGACAGAGAGGCTCACACACACAGAGATAGAGAGGCTCACACACACAGAGACAGAGAGGTTCACACACACAGACAGAGAGGCTCACACACACAGGTACACAGACAAAGAGGCTCACACACACAGGTACACAGACAGAGAGGCTCACACACACAGACACACAGAGACAGAGAGGCTCATACACACAGACAGAGAGGCTCACACACACACACACACACACAGACAGAGGCTCTCTCACACACACACACACTCTCAGATACACACACAGACAGACAGACTCACACATACAGATACAGACAGACAAACAGAGAGGCTCACACACACAGAGACAGACACACTCACAGATACACACACAGACAGACAGACTCACACATACAGATACAGACAGACAAACAGAGAGGCTCATGCACACAGAGACACATATAGATTCACACAAGCAGATAGAGACAGAGTCTCACACACACAGTCAGACACACTCAGAGGAACTGGCGGTCCTCAGTCTTATTTCGAATTCTCCTTCTCATGAAGTCTGCTGTTTAATTTTTAACTTGGCTCACTCCTTATAAGGGTCCTCGTTGCATTTCTGTGATCAGCGGGAATGTGTCACATGACAGCTTCACTTATCATTATTCAATTTCAGTCATTTCTATTATCGAGCTTCTGTTTATTTGAGGATGGCACACATGCACAAAGGTGGCGGAGAGGCTGGTTTTAGTGTGGGTGGAGGCTGACAGGCGGAAACTGGGGCTCGGGTTGAGAGATGGAGAACACACCTCTCCCTATGCGAGACCTGCAGTGCGTATTTATAGGTTTCCGAAAACATGCAAATTCCCCATTACATGGCTTCCTATGATATGTGAGCCAAGTCTGATACTGGAACTGTGGGGAACTTATGCTTTCTCCAACCCGCAATCCGAAGCCAAATTCCCTGCACTGCGAAAACATGGCATCTCCTAGTTGTTCCACAAACCTGAAAACATGAAAAGTTCAATAACTGAATTTACCAAAGGAACAGGTTCACTGCAAGAAACAGATGTTTATGGTTTTCCAGTTTCAATCAGGTCTTGACTGTAGCATTACCAGTCAGGCTAATCCAGCACATTATTCATCGACTGACACGTTTCAGCAAGATGTTTACCGGTCACTGCTCTGTGGCATAGAGTTCAGTGCATACCCATTTTCTGACTTGCTTGCTCATAATACAAGAAAGATTTTGGGGGAAAAATATAACAGGCTGAAGGTAAATATCTCTTCAAATGAGCTTCCCACAGGAAAAAAAAATATTCACAAGTTATGGAAAGGCACAAGATGGATAGATTTCTGCAAGCTCATGGGTTCCCTGGCAATGTTCAAAAAGACTTGCTTCAAAAATCAATTTTTTACACCCAGTAACCTAACGGATGACAATAATAGAAACCAAATGGTTGGTTTTTAAACTTTAAAGAAAACTTTGTCTCTGATTGTACAGAATATTGAGAATAAATAACTGCTTGCTCATCTGGAGAGTGTAGGTGAGAATAAGGTTAGGCGCGAGACCACATACCTTGCAGGTGAGGGTGATGTTAGGCGTGAGATTACTTACCTGGATGGCTTGGCGTGTCGTTGCTCCTGGATGCCTGTGCTTTGAGCCGGTCCCTGCATTGCGCCGGTATGGTGTGAGCTCTCGTGCCTGCAGTAGAGCGGGGCTGCCAGGGGCTGTTTTGAGAGATGCGTTTAGCATCGATCAGGAGGCTCTCAGCACCTTGTGCCCATCACACAGACCTGTGCTTACTCTAGCGAAAAAGCGTGGACAGCGCCCGTCGATATCCCGGGCGACGTATCTCACAGTGAGAGCATGGAGGGGGACAGGGCATGGAACCCGCTCTATGTCTGCAGAAAGTCCCACCTCTTGAAGTGCGTTAAACCCGGTTTGCTGAAGTTTTACCGTGTCAAATTCTTTGGCCTGTTTTCAGATAATAACCTGCAGGGGTGGTCTTCCTCTCAGTGAATCTGCACTTTGGCATGAACGATTTCCCGTCTCATCGCGGGCCAACGTTCCTGGAGGTGCGACTGCAGCAAATTTCGGAAAGCTGGGAGGGGGCACTTTCCAGAGTGTGTTCGAGCCACTAACAGCCAGTCAGGTGTTTGGATGAAGGCCCCCCCCCATAGACTAGGGTGCTTTTTGCAGTTGTCTAAATGGCCCCAAAAGCTGACACACTGCTGCACTCAGGTATCATGAGCATGATGCAACAACCTCAACCTGGGGCACCAAACTATAGAAGCTCCCATTATCCCCCACACACCAGACAGGCCACAGCAATGGAGCCCAAAGATCAAGTGAACTTGGCATAAGAGATTCCTGTTCAATGAGAATTGCTAACTGCTTTGAAGCGTGGATCCATTGAAAGTGTCTGAAACAACCTTGAAAAGCAGCTCTCAGCTTTTGCCAAATTTTTCATTTGTGGTAGCATGACAGAAAGTAAGACTTCCTTTCAGCATCCAACACCAGGGTCATACATCACATTTAAAGACTGCCAGAATACGGAGTGCCAGCGATACGGAGCTTAGGGCAGCTGAAAAACATTAGCATTTACAGTAGAGTGAAAGGAATTTGGGGAATCAATGCAGATGTTGTGCCAAATATGGTTATTATTTAAAACATGCCATATTCTATAAAAAAAAATCTGTGGAGCTATTAAATAAAATGTACTGTTTTTCCTAGAATAAGCTCTTTAAAGTGCATTATTAAATGTAAATAATGCAACCATATT